TGAATCCAAACTTATAAATTAATATCAGCATTAGATGACATAGCTCCTAGGCCTTAGAGGAATTTAGGGATGAGAATTTTGCTGGATATCATACATTTTAATTTCCAGAAGATCTAAGACTCAGAGTCGAGCAGAATCTCGTTTAGTAGGAGTTAGAACATCTAATATTTCAGGATTTATTTGAATTAATTCGATTATTTTATTTGAACAGGCCACGCCAAGTAAACATTTTATACACATTTAAAGTTCCAGCTCGTCTTTAGGGTTTTGATAAAATGAGTATTGTTACAGTTACAATTTGCATCCCTTAAAAAGGTACTAATTACGGTTACATTTCGAAAGTAACTATCATGCATGATGATTTATTTCTTCTTCTTTGTTTTCTAAGTCACCTGCTTTGATAAAATTGTTCACAAATCCCAAGGAAACTAATTTTTGGTCGAATTGTGTATTTTTAATCTGATGAGTAAAATATAAAAAGAGAATATAAATTAATATACCGGTCAAGATCAAATGGAAGACCGATTCCAAAGATGGAACAATCTTTCTAAAACCGAACTACCCGGGTTGATCTAACCCTTGATCCAACTCGAGCAAACCGGGCCGTTGATTTTCACAATCCTCGCCGAGGGAAGAAAAATATCTAAATAAATAACACAAGGCATGCTAATTTTTAATCCAAAAATAAACTTTCTTCTGGGCAAAAAAGAAGTTTCACGGGAGGCGTTTGAATGCAATTTTATAAATTATATATTTAGTCGCTGAGAATTAGAATATTCTATCAGCACTTTTTATAATTTTATAGGAGAGGGGGCAATTTAACAAAAATTAAAGTTTCTATTATTTTCTATAGAAAATGGTTAACCTTGTATCGGATTTAATTTTGAGTTATCTTCTAAATGTATCGTAATTTTTTTTTATTGTAGATAGAATAATATAATATTTTAAAAAAATTTAATTTATGTTAAAAAAAACAATCATTTTTGACAAAATAAGTATATATATCAGGCGGCGATTTATTTAAACAACAATTTTTTTTTTTTAAATATTGGAAAGCATAGAAGGAAAAATAAATATAAATGCAAAATAATATAACATATTTTTTTAAAGAGTATAACTTGAAAATTAAATAGTTACATTTGTCGTTACATTTCGAAAAGAGACCAGTTACAATTATTTGTGTCTTAGTGTTGTTAAACGGATTTTGAACCAATTTTTAAAAACGGCTAATTGAATATTTTATCCAGATGAATATTACGCTAGCCTGAAGATTTTTCTCATAGATGGCACATCGAGGCATCAATTAGGGAAATCTCGAGGATTAGGCAATATTTTTCTGACTAAAATAAAGAGTTAGCCGTTTTAAAATATCGACTCAAAACGAGCCGTTTAACAACACTATTTGTGTCAATTAATAACACTAGATAAAATCGAATGGACACTCCCCAGGTAACAGCTGCATTTTATATGGAGAACTTCGAGTGTAATGTATATACCTTTTTACTCGTCAAAAAATAAAAATATACAGATACATACGATATATTTATAAATTTTTCCCTTTAATATCATATAAAAGCTAACCCTTAGTGTTTACATCAGGAATTTTGAGCCTACTAGCTAATTTATATAAGGCGAAATGAATTATCTATTGGCCGATATCGATATTTGCTGTATTGCTCAAGGATCTGGGTCTACCAAAATCTTATTTTTTTTCCACCCCCTATAATTTAAAAAGATACCTATTTTTTTTAGGTATATTAGTTTACATTATAGATAAACTCGTGTGCATGACCCTGGATCTTGCTAACGGAATAATCAGCTGATTATAAAAATGGCCTAAGAAAATCGGAGAACTAATTATGATGTTAAAAAAATGAATAAATAAATCGAATATATAAGTGTCGTGTTTTTTTTATAACAAATCTATTCACAATATCAGGCTACATCGTTTTGAGCACAGCAGAAACTCCTTATTATGAGCAGTGTTGTTAAGCGGCTCATTTTGAGCCGATTTTTTAAAAACGGCTAACCTTGAATTCATAGTGGCGCGATTGCGATCGCGATTTAACAGCTGATTGATTTTTAAAATCTGTTTATGAGATCAATTATTCCTTATTAAAATCATTTATTTCTTATATTATTATTAAAATTTGAATTAAAGATAAAATTAATATTAACAAATAAAAATTGATCTCATAAACAGATTTTAAAAATCAATCAGCTGTTAAATCGCGATCTCAATCGCGCCACTATGAATTCAAGGTAACTCGGTATTTTATTAAGAAAAAATATTGTGCAAGTCTAAAGATTTTGCTCATATGTGGCACAGAGGTTTGAACATCTGTTAACAAAATCTCGAGGCTTAGACAATATTTCTTCTGGCTAAAATATCGAGTTAGCCGGTTTTTAAAATTTATCGAGTTAGCCGGTTTTTAAAATTGGCTCAAATCGAGCCGTTTAACAACACTAAATATGAGAGCCTGAAATATCTAAACTACATTCTTTTTTAATATTTAACATCGTATTAAAAAAAATGGTCAAAATCCCTATTTTTATCGTTCTTTTCGAACGTATTCAGAAAAAGGTTCTGGTTTCGATGCGAGATAAAGTCTCTATGGTTCAAAGCATGGGTTCTCAATAGTGTTGTTAAACGGCTCGTTTTGAGCCAATTTTTTTAAAACGGCTGACTCAATATTTTAGCCAGAAAAATATTGCCTTAACTCGAGATTATGATAATATATGTCTAGACCCTTTGTTTCTTCTATGAGCAAAATCTTCAGGTGTGCGTAATATTTTTCTGGCTAAAATATTGAGTTAGCCATTTTTAAAAATCACTCAAAACGAGCCGCTTAACAACACTAGTTCTCAACCCTCACAAAATGTATGTGCAGTATTATATTTTAGAAAAATATTTATCTCGAGGGATAGGAAATATATTTTTTTGAACATAAATGGTTATTAGGTTTTAATAAAAAAAATCAAATTATTACTATCGATTTCAGGTTTTATTTTTCGTGATAAACAAATGCCAGTGAAAGACGTAGATTAATTAGATTAAAATAATATCTAAAAATGCTTATCATTAATCATAAGTGATTTATTTTTTGAACATTAATGAGCGAAAGATATTAGGGTTTATATAAAAATTTTTTTTATTACTATCAAGTTCAGGTAGTGTTGTTAAACGGTTCATTAAAACGGCTAACTCAATATTTTATTAGGAAAAATATTATGCAAGTCTTAACATCTTTCTCATAGGTGGCACAAAGGTTTTTGAACATCTATTAGCGAAAATCTCGAAACCTAGATGAAATTTTTCTGATTAAAATATTGAGTTACCCGTTTTTAAAAATCGGCTTAAATCGAGCCGTTTAACAACACTAAGTTCAGGTTTTTATTTTTGTGATATTAAGAAAGAAAGAAAGAAAGAAAGAAAGAAAGAAAGAAAGAAAGAAAGAAAGAAAGAAAGAAAGAAAGAAAGAAAGAAAGAAAGAAAGAAAGAAAGAAAGAAAGAAAGAAAGAAAGAAAGAAAGAAAACTCAAAAAAATGTAGGATATGAATTGTTGTACTTCCTGACTGTGACTGTAATCTTTGTAACCTCTTATCATATCGATGAACAATTGAGAGTTTCCATTAATTAGATTGCAATTTGTATGCGACATAGCAAAATTTGTGCCTACATCAAATGTAACTTACCAGTTTATTTTAAGGGGGCATTCATAGTTTTAACTGTTAGGAAAAACAGTTATGCCGCTAAAAATCGATTACTCCACTGCTCTTATGAAATGCTTTGCTTAACCACCTAGAACCCTCCAACTATTTACTGAGAAAAGTAAAATAAGACCTCTGGTCTCATTACAATTCTAAAGATTCTGTCAATTCCTATCGGGGATAGGACTTGGGTGTCTTTATTCCTTACAAATCACCTAGCCGTAAATAAAAAAACTAACAAATTTTCTAATTTATATTTAGTCCCATAACTATCTTAACAAATGGCTAATATTAACCACAAAATATATCACCTTCACCTTACAAAGTAGGGCCAATAAATTTTTAGAATAATACTGTAAGATTAACTAGCTAACACGGGGAACACGAGAATCACGAATCCGTATCATCAAGTGGTTATTGGAGGTGGATTAAAGTTCTAGAATAATTGCGCGATTATGGTATATTACGATGATTATATTGGATGTTTATGATTGTAATATTATGAATAATTATATATTAAATTATATGTAAATATAGATTTGTATTATGTGGGCCCAAAAAATTTTTTTAAAATTATTTTCAAAATTACCTTTTTTAGTGGTATAAAAAAAATTAAAAATTATGAAGGAACTCTTAAATTTTTAAGGGATCGAGCCCCTACGGCCCACTGTTTTGCATTAAATATATGCTTGCAATAAAGAAATAAAATAAAGGAATTATCATAATTATTGTTGCCTTATGTCATTGTTAACACGAGCTTTAATAAGAGTTTACATTTCCGATCACTTTGAAACATCTGGTATCCTGATGGTCGTCTAAAGCCACAAGACAATGCAAAAATTTTATGGAAGTTAGAAACTTTATAATCTTGGTTTATATTTATACCTTTTAAATATCAACTTGTATATTCTAATTTTAGCCTAAAACAAAAATAAATTAACAAATAAGAATCTTATTCTCAGCCCTATGACAAATGACCATTTATCACCAATTTATTTTTAAAACCCCTAAGCCTCAGAATTAAACACTTTAATGAACGAGTCCAAAATTTTTTTCTAACTATGAATTTTAAACATAAAAATTGTTCCTCTTTAGGGATAGAAGTAATCATTATATAAGTTTTGTTTTTAAATATTTTAAATATATATTTATTAGTTATTATATTATAAATACTTAATAAATGAGAAATTAACTAATGGCATAACTTATTTTTTTAAAGTATTTTTTAAATAATAAATTTTATTTCTTCTATAAAGAGTACGAATATCACCACTCATACATTAATTTGAAATGATTTGATTTTCTTTTTTTAGGATATTATGTCAAAGATTTCTCTACAGGATTTTGAAAAATATCGTTGTAATCATGAATCATCGAAGGAATGGAAGCTAAGAAAAAGATTTCTAATTGCATTTTACAATAAATATGAAGAACCACGTTTGATATGTTTATCGAAAGTATATTCCAACATAAAATTTTTGGAATGCCAGTACATAAATATAATTTTAAGAAGTATATAACCAAAATATCAGATACTCAAAGGCAATTATGGAGGAGGTAGATATGTTGGAGGAAATACTAGAAAAAAATTATAAACAGCAATTGTCACACAATACGTTTAAAGGTAATCTTCATATTTATAATTATTATTTGTCTTCTAAAAATCTAATATTTACGTTTTCCAATTAATAAAAGGTGGAAGTCAAAAGCCAAAGAAAAAGAAGCCGACAAAATCTTTGACAAATGATAATTCCAGTGAGGTTATGCAAACAAAATCCTCAAGTGTTTCTAAGTCTTCTTCTATAATATCATCTTCATCAACTTCTCTTGCATCCAAAAATTCTAAACCATCACCCTCATCATCTACACAATCTTACCCTAAGTCCTCCAATACTTCTTCATAATTTTGTAAAATGCTCAATTTAAATATTTATAAAATCTCAATTTTATTGCCAACTTATAAAATGTGCAATGAATATTTACAGATTTAATAATAAATTTTATAATTAACATTAACCTATAAAACATGATAAAATTATATATATATATAATAATCATTAGCCTTTTAATACCAATCTACACTTTCTATTTTAAACAAATTTTTAATAACACACCATTACAGTATATTTTTAAAAGAAATTCAACTCCAAACATGTCATAAAATTTTATAAAACCATCATCTACGATATTATTTAAGATTTAATGTTTTTATTTCAAAGATGTTATTTACTATTAGCAAAATCACTCTTTTTTTATATTTTATAAAAGTGAACCTTAGTCGAAGTTTGTATTATAGTGTTGTTAAATAGTCTGATTTGAGTCGTGATTGCTGGGCAAGTCAAATTTTAGCTCAACATTCAAAATTAGAGTTTGTAACATAAAGAAAAACTGTTTCGGTTCTATTATAAATATTACTAAAAGAGTAGTTATGGTTCTGTTAAAGCAATGTAAAATTTAAACAATAAGAACCTTGAATCACAAAACATTTAAAAGATTTAGTGTCCCTTTGATTGATTTAAACAAAATTTAATGTGTCTCAGCCAGATGTTTTCCTAAAAATGAAGTGCACAGTGTGCACTTCTTAATCTTTTAATATTTTTTATAATCGAATAAACATAAAATATTTTATAAGCAAAATGGTATTGGTTGTATATTAATATATACATTTTTAATTCAAAAACTAACCCTTCCCTATTTTAATTGATTCACTTTAAAAAAAATATCCAATAGAAATATGGGAATATCATCATATCCATTTTGACTGGTCGTCTACATGTTTAGATAAAAATGGGAAATAGTACAAATTATTTTTACAACCAGAGCAAGCATTAAAAATGGTTAAGCACATTGATGGACAAACCAAGATAGTATTGAAACTGCATACTTCATACTATCTTGCAAAATTAAATCGTCTATTTGAGAATTTTGAATCATTAATAGATTTACAAGAGCACAACAGCTATATTTTTCATTTTATATATTCTATCTTGTTAATAATTTATTGCCAAGGAAATGCCTAAAAAATTGTAAACAATATTACAATTTACTATCGAAAATTGCTATTCTGGTAGATTAATCTACCACGTTGTCAAATTAAACTCTCCTTGGTTATCTACGTTCAAGCATCATTTATGTCCTTTATGAGGATCTTATAGACCTATTGAACTGGAATCGAAAGGTGCAGAAGATATATTTAATACCTTACTGGATCTTCTTTAATTTCGCTGTATTTTCCGAAATTTTGCCAAAAGTTGTATTTCTTTTGTTATCGATGCCACCATTGTTATGACTGGAGAAAGTCTGTCTTAGCAAAGTGTCTCCGCGCATTACATCCAACGATCATACCCTGTTGTTTAAATCGCCATTTAGAATTAGCGGTGCCCGATGCATGAAAAAGTGTTACAAGGCGTTAATCATTTTAAAGCCTTTTATCGACACATAATATAGCAAGTCTAACAAAAAATGTCAGAATTTGGCATTCAGTTGCCGAGGATAGGAAATGTACTCGATGTAGGACGGGTGTTTATTAGTCTTGATACTGTTAAGACAGCTGTGAATAACTACAAGGCCCTGTTGCAAAATTTAACGGGCTGTTCCACCCCGCTAAAAAGTGGTAAATTTTTAACCGATCTCATCTTGACGCATCATTTTCTATTAAAATTATTGGATCTGTCTTTAAAGCTTCGGACAAGAACAATCAAATTACCTAACGTTGAAAAAATCAGTATAGCAAATAATTCGTGTTCTAAAATCGTTTAAGGATATGTCTGTAGAGGATCTAAATCTCTTTGTGATTTCTAAATGAATGTTTATGGTTATTTACATTTTGATCTTTTTTTTTATAATTATATTATACATTAAAAGATCCCGAAATATTTATTAATTAAATTTATAGCCAATATAAAGTTAACCAACCTAATTTTTAAAATTGCTACTGTAAAATTACAGAAAGTGTAGATAAAATGATCGAATTCTCCAGGCGACGATTTCTAAAGGAGAACATATGAAATCACACGAAGCTAAAGGAAAACAGAACTCTGGTATCAACGAAAATTCATTACTGCCTAAATAGGGAATATTGTGCAAAATAGGTAAATTGAGGCTAATTTCGATAATTATTTTGTAATATGATACTAAATTTAATTATACAGTTTTTGCTACTCTATTTTATATATTTTAAAAAAAAGGTAAAGTTGCTGGCAGAGCAGATCTAGAGTTGCTAAACGGCTCGATTTGGCAATTATGTAAGCCTGGATTCCGTTACTAGGTTGTTAAATCTTTCTGGAATATATAAGCAAAATCTTCAGGGCTTGTATAATACTTATTTGGCTAAAATCTTGGATCAGCTGTTTTCTAAAAAAATTGAGCCGTTTAAACAACACTATAGCAAACTCTCAGATTCGTTATGTGGAAGAGGGAATTAATCGAATTTGTTTCTTGACAATGATAAATGGGATGAGTGCAATATATCGCTGAATAAATGGCCCCGTGATTTGAAGAAAGAATTTCAAAAATTGAAATTAACACAAATTCCTTGCAGTGCTGGTAGATGAGAGCGCGGCTTTCACCTTATGAATTGTGATTATGACGGATTCGCAAGCAAGTATTATTTCCAGTTTAAAGGATGGATAAACTTTGACGGCCTCAGTCAGTGTAATTCTTCTCTATAACATTAGAAAGTGGCTAACAAGTTACGGTCAACAAACAATGGCCAATCGAGTTGAGTTAATATTTTTTTTTTTAAAATAGATAAAGATTCGCTATGGCGAATATAGGGCTTTATTTTCACCCTTTTTTAAAAATATTCTAATTCTATAACGATTTATGAATTATATTACATCTTAATATAAATTAGGCCATTTTTTTTAAAAATCCAATTTACATATCTTTTTGCAATATATTTCAATTTTTATACAACTACTTCCTAGCTATTTGATATTTATAAAATAAAATGTATTTTATACGAAATGTTTCAATATAAACTATTTAAAAAAAAAAGAATAAGTTGGCCTCTAATTGTTTTTGACCCGTTTCAGCCGCCCTTTATTTATTTTTTTAAGAGTAATAGCATGACCCCGCCGAAAATTTTATAACTACAACTTGGATTGATGTGATGCTCTTCGACATTTTCACCTGATATATTGACATGACATCATTAATCTCGACTCCAATTTATTGAAAAATTATTTTTAAAAAAAAATCCATTTACCCCGAATAAATAAATAATCGACACTCTAATTATACAAAATTTTATATAAATTTTGTCCTTAAATTTTATTTACCTTAATAATCTTAATTATCAGATGTGTTCTAATGCTTATGGTTATATTCCCGGTCTTAGACGCTTATGAAGTCTGTTAGGATTCCTGCAATTATTTTGCAAAGTAGTATTATCTATTATAAGGTAACTTTATTTTGACAATTAGTAATGTTGAACGTCTCTTTTTAAGCCGGTTTTTAAAAACGGCTATCTCAATTTTTTTTTTATTAGGAATAATATTATGCAAGCCTTAGGATTTTTCTCATTAGGTGGCACAAAGGTTTGAATATCCATTAAAGAAATCTCAAGGTTTAGACAATATTTTTCTGGCTAAAAATCGGCTCAAACCGAACCATTTAACAACACTACTGACAGACAATAATGTAAGAGGCGATATTAATAAAACCTAAAAATTATCGGCTTGAAACTGGTAACAATAATTTTAAAAATATATATATACATTAAGTTTAATATAATATTATAACCCAAAATAACATGTAAGCCTAAAGATTTTGCTCATAGCTAACAAAAATGCTTGGACATCTCATTTGCCAAATTTCGATGCTTAAATAATATTATTTTAGAATCACAAATCGGGAATTTTTAACACTGTTTTAGAGTCGGCATAATGTAATGATTACAATATATGTTACCATTTGTTACTTATCTTCTGTATAGGAATTATCAAAATATGAGCATGAAATTTTTGATGCTGGTGTAAAAATTTGATTTCATTAGGTCAAAAAATAAATCATATAAAGGTGTTTCGCAATATTTAATTTTTAAAAAAAATCAAATTCTAAGGAAATAAATTTAGATATTTATTGAGCTTATTTGATAAAACCAAAAACGTATGTAAAACCGTTAACACTTTCGAATGTTAGGTCGCCTTTATGTTCAATGCAAAATAATGCCCCAAAGATAATTATATAAATAAAATTAATTAATTATACATCCTAAAAAATTGCAATATTTTTATTTTTGATATTCTTGATAAATGTAATCAATCATCATGATGCTCAAAATGATAATGATTGTAGTTTAAAATTAAATACATACGTAAATGATTCAAACTGAATATATTACTATTTTGTGTTACGCTTAGAAGATATATCTGGAATTAAAGTGGCTCTATCTACGCTTAAATTTACTAATCGCGATACTTTCACGGGCTCTCATCAATCCTAATAAATAAGTATCTTAAATATTGGTGATCAATTCTATCAAAAATTTGGCGGATAAAATATAATGTTTAATTCATTATCGACATAATAAGAAGTGTTCATTAGGTAAGTAATTAATCTATATAATCAAAGTGTCTTTTACTAATATTCAATCTAATGGATAGGTGAATCTAAAATAATTGTCTGGCGAAATAAGCAGAACTGGCTTTTAAATATTTTTATAACATAATAATGCATATTTAATCGATATATGTCAATTTTTGGTTATTTTAACCTTTAGATTAAGCCACCCTTTAACTTGGAGCAGTGGCATGACCACAAAGGGGGTTGAGTGTTTGGAGGTTGGAACCCTCTCCTCAGGCTAAAATCCAAGAAATATACAAGTAAAGGGTTCAAAAATTACTTTATATTCAAATAAATACCTTAACAAAATTTTAAATATTAATTTGGTTTAATATGATTCTGAACTTTAAAATTATCGGTTATAAAAATATATTAAATTAATATAGAATTCATATCTATTATTCAAGTATTTGATAAAAAATCTTCTAAATTATGATTAGATATTGTCGATAGATGTTCTAATATATTTGTTATCTTATCAAAGATATGGTTCTATAATAATGATATAAATACAATCGTAATGCTATATATGGTTTATATTTTGGTTATCTTCCATACATACTCTCTTCCCTCCTTATTAAACAATTTATTAATAATCAGC